ACCTCTGCTGCTGACCTTGGTTACTGGTTTCCAAGCTCGCTTCTCAATCTTACTTTTGTAATACATGTGTCTTGTTGCTTGTTTCTAGGTGATACTCCTTACATAACTAAGTTCCTGTTTATAAATTCTCAAGGCTCATTTTGCAAGCCTATTTCGTAACACAGGCATCCTCTTGTTGCCTCTTTTCTTTTTATATATATCCTTGACTACTTGCTTATACTAAAAACCCTTAAGTTTTTATTATATGTATTTTCAACTACTAAAACTCTGAAGCAATTTATAAAATTTCCTCGAAAATTTTAAAGTTGCTTCATCCCTCCCTTCTTAGAAACATTTTGTTACTTGTAACAAAATTCATCATCCAACTCACTATATCTCTCTTTATCAGCCAATGCTTACATTATTGAAATATATTCATATATATCTATACGATTACATATATAGGATGATATATATTTAACACTTTTTAACTTTTAAACATTTAACTTTTCCTTATTAAGCATAACTGGCAACCTAAAACTATTAAATATATATAGTAACATTAGGTTATCAAAACACAACACAAGTTTATAATTACTTTTAAAAATAGTTTTGGAAATTCCAGAATATGTCCCAATTACTAGTGGCTATCCATTCATATAACGCGCACACTTTCCAATAAGCACAATGTTCATGCGGGTAACGATGACAGTCACAGGTTATTTGTTCATTACAATCCAAACGTCTGTGGGGTGGACATCCATATTCCTCTACTTCCTGGCATGGCATTCCTAACTGTCTTTGCAGCAGCTGTGCCTTCTCCTTACCCTTAGTGTAGATCTTAACATAATCTTGTCTTATCCCCTGGCGAATCTGTAAGAAGTCCAGCATAGAATAGTCTCCATCAGTCCAACGGAGACAGTGGAGATATACTGTACACCACAGGACATGTCTCTTATCGGCGTCGCTCAGGCAATCCTCAGAGTATGGAGGCCTGAAGCAATAGATGTCAGTCCATCCTGAATGACAGTCTTTTACAGCCAATTCCTTTATTAAATACTGTCCATTGATTCTAAAGCTTTCCATTTCTACTATGGCAGCTCTTTGTACCTGTTTCCTATGATTATTATAAGAACATTGTTGTTACTTGTCCCAGTGAAGGCTTATACAGTCACTTCACTCGTTCTTTTGTTCATCATAGTCATACACATGTCCTTCTGGTACATCTGGCTACTCGTTTGCACTCGTTATTTAAATCACTTCAATCACTCTATTCAAAACACTTCAATTCACTAACACACTATTAATACTTGACATCTGTTGATAGAAGTTCCTGTCCTTCCGTGTAGTTTATTTCTGGATTCGTTGTACTATCTAACTGTCTATTTTCATCTACTGGTCATAAGCTTCGTTTGTCTCTTACTTTTGGTCACTGTCTATTATTTCTGTCCTTTCTCGAACTTTTCTTACTTCCAGTCATTGTCTATTTTAGTCTTTTCTCGAACTTTCTATGCCTAATAATTTTGCCTATAATTTTGACTAATATCATCTTTTAGAAATCAAATAACCTCGTCAATTTGTTATATCTAGATAATTTTGTAATCATCTAAATAATCAAGCTATATCTTGATTAGATGTGGCCTACTCATTCAGTTCTACTATTTCAGTAGCTTCTGAATATTCAGACATTTCATTATTGCCCATTCTTGTTATTTTCTTTTTTCTAGTTTTACATAGCCCATCTAATGCCATTAACTTTACTAAAGCCAATTTGTCTCTTTTGATATACAATGTTATGCTTACTAATACCACTACTAAGCATAAGGTTATCATCACCGAGTTAGATAGTCTCCAATTATCTAACTTCTGTTTTCCAGCTGTAGCGCGTAGTCGGTCCACATGCTGTTGAAAATCCGTAAGACTTAACCCTGACTTCCTAGAAGGTAAATGTTTAGTGTCCTCTAGTATATCTTTTAATCCTTTAGTATCTGTTTCTATATCTATACTCTGAATTAACTGTAATTTCCTTTTTCGTTAGTAATTATTGTAATTCTGGAATCCTTATAGTTAGTCTAGTCCCTATATATTTAGTTTCACTTCTAAAGTTCGATAGTAAGGTTATACCTTGACCATGAGCTGAACAATTTCTAGCTAATTTTAGATAACCACTATTGTTTAGCTTAATTACTCTAGTATGATAATCAACTGATGTACGTTTGACCTTGAACATACAACTGATAAAGTAAGTTCATCTTTAACGTTAAATAACCAAATTCCTGGAGTTATAGTTTTATAAAAATAGAATGGTTTAGGAATGATTATTCTCTTCTCACATAGTTCAGATATTCTATTCTTAATTCCTGCGAATATCACATAATTACAAGTTACAATAGGTACTGAATACATACCCGAGTTAGGATCACAAACTCTGATAGGTCTGTCTATGCAATTTAACATATCTTCTTCTGTCATTTCAACATATGTATGTTGATCCCTTGAGACAGCAATATACGGTTTATCGTTCTCTATAGCTAAAGCTAGTGAATGATTTATTGCTATCAGTAAGGATATAATCTTATACAATTTAAACATTCTGTCAGTTGCTTTTAATGGTATTTCTATAAACATCCTTAGAGTATCCTTAACTTCGGCTGTTTTCACGTCAGCCCATGTATAGTACATATAAATTTGGTTACTATAAGTAGATATTACAAACTGTAAATGTGGAGGTAATCTCCTTTCAATTTCGTCTAACACTCTTTCTAGTTTACTTGGTGATAAAAAGTAAGAACTTAGCTTTTTATTTCTAGCTACATACAATGCTTGTATTAACTTAGCTAACTCTGTCCTACTACTTCCTACAGTAAAAGATAACTGTTGTAGATTATTCTGAATTCTAGTGTTAAAACTAACATTTCCATTCCTGCTTTATGTAACTCAGTTTGTCTTATTCTAGTGTGTATTAATGCATTAGTAATATTTATCAAAGCTTTAGATACTTTCTGATTTCTTGGTCATGTAATTCAAGCGTTTGATTTAACAAATTCATTATAGTTGCTTGCTCTCCTATTAAGTGCATCACTTCTTTAGAAACATGTCTCTGTTGTTCTACCTTTTTATTTAAGTCTTGCAAATCGTCAGTGGTTGCTGTTCCAAATAGAAATTTTAGAATACTTCCACCTGCATTTATTAACCCTTGTCTTTGTCTAGTTCTGTCAGATATAGATACGCTATCCTTAATATATTTTAATTCTAGTAATAGTTCACCTATCTCGTCATGATATTGTCTAATTAAGGTTATGTAATTTTGAATTAGTCCTTCCTGTAATATCCTAGCTAACTGTAAGATAGCTATCCCTTGATTTCTCATGTGATATAATGTCACATTCGCTGAACCTTCTTCACTAAAACTAACATGAGTTTTCACATTCAACGATTTTTCAAACAACACCAACTCTTCTTGTAATCTTATCAGCAATCTAACATACTGTGGAAATGGTATATCTTCCACAATTATCCATTTATCACCAGATAATATGAAATTTCCTTCTTCAACAAAGATTACACCTACCTTGTTTTCTACTGGCACAATACTCGCATTCTGTCTGGTTCCAGTTTTCGTCAGCAACAGTATAAGAATACTAAAGTTATATTCACCAAATAATACTGTTAGTTACCTATAAAATATCTAACATTTAAACATATAACAACCATAGGTATATATTTTATTCTACTTTCCTTATTTACAACTTTGCAAGTAATCTATCATGTTATTAAAAGCATTAATAACACTTGCTTCGTAAGATACAGTGTTAACTGTATTTACATTATTTCTAGATTTGTGTACGACCACTTGCGGATGGAATCGTACTTGTTTCTTTTGCCTAGTATGAGTCACTTCTGGTTGGATTGATATAGGACTTCATGATCTAAGATTATAATCATGGGTCACTACATCAGCTTGTGTCGTCAATGAGGTACTAGGGATATTATCCTCAGTTACTTGTTTACTATCCTCATTGTTAGTAGTAACAACTGGTGTATCTTCTGTTGTTATTAACTTATCACCAAGTATTACGTTATCTTCTCTTTCTACCCTCGGTATTTCTGGTTCTGGTTCTATTATTTCTTCTTAATCATAAAAAGATGAATCAAACTCATTCAAGTTATCATCTTCTTCCAGAATACCCTTATCTTGTTCTGTCTGCTTAGTTTCTTGTTCTACACATTCATATTGATAAGGCTTATAATCTTTTACCTTCTTTAACCTGTTCACATGTACTAATTGTTTGTTCTTTCTATAGATTTCTTGAATTTCATAATTAACTGAACTAGTTTGTTTCAAGACTCTAAAAGGACCTTTCCATAACTTTGCTAACTTTTTAGTATTTTTTTTTTAACTATTGGGGTATACAACAACACTTTATCTCCTAACTTTATATCACTGATCTGTGCCTTTTTATTTACCTGCTTTTCTCTACTTTCGGCAGCTTTAGTTAAATGTTTGTTAGCTAACTCAAATGCTATTTGCATCCTCTGTAGTAACTCTGCCTTAGTCATAAGCTATTGCATGACTATTTTTCTTAGGAGCCAATGTCTCTTGCATAGGTAATATAACATCCTCACCATGCAATAAAAAGAAAGGACTTTCCTGAGTTGACTCGTTGTCAGCACTTCTGTAGGCTAACAATAACAAGGGGATCTGCTCATCCCAAGTTTTCTAATCCTTCTCACAATATTGAGAGATCATATCTAACAAGGTTCTATTAAATCTTTCTACTAAACCATTAGCAGCTGGGTGATAAGCTGTGGTTTCGATTTTATTTACACCTAGTAATTCACAAACTTCCTTCATTAACTTAGAAATTAAGTTACTACCTCTATCTGTTAATAGATATTGGGGTATACCATATCTAGCTACTATGTGATTTACAAAAGCTTTAGATATCGTTTCTGCTTTCTGATCAGGTAAGCATACAGCCTCCGGAAACCTAGTCAAGTAGTCTGTGGCTACTAACATGTATTTGTTTCCTGCGTAGAACATAGGCAAGGGGCCTAATATGTACATAGCAATTAGCTGAAAAGGTGTCGTTAAACTTGGCATTCTCTGCAAAGGAGCATTTTTTGAATGGAGATTGGTTTTCACTTCTGGCATTCTAGGCATGACTCACAGTACTCCTTAATGTCTTTCCACATATTTAACCAAAAGAATATCCTGCTTATTCTACTATACGTTTTAGCAAAAGCTAAGTGTGCCACAAAAGGTGTGTCATGGTATGTTTTCATGACTTTTGTTCTCAGTTTAACTAGTATGACTATTTGTAAAGACCTATTGTCCTTAACTTTTCTACATAAAACATCAGAATCTAACATGTATTCTGTTTCATCTCCTTGTATTACTTTATTGCATAAGTCATTTATTTCTGGATATTTCTTTTGCTCACTAATTATATGGTCTAAGTCCCAAATTACTTCTAATTCATTTTCATGTTCGGATTGTACTTCTTTTATCTGATTGATTGTTTGTTTTTCTACAGTTCCGTTATTTTCTACTCTGATTCTACTTAAAGCATCTACATTAGAATGTTTTTTACCTGGTTTATGTATTATTTCAAAGCCATAATTCTGTAGTAATAAGGACCATCTAGCTAATCTAGAGGAAGGGTCTTTTAGTGTCATTAACCATTTTAATGGTGCATGATCTGTAATAATGGTAAACTTTCTGCCATATAAATAGCAATGAAAGGTTTTAATTCCATGTACTACAGCCAAGCACTCTTGTTCTGTAACTGAGTAATTTACTTCAGCTTTTCCTAACTGTCTACTCTGATAAGCTATAGGGTGTTCTTTACCGTTTTCGTCTAACTGTGATAATACTGCACCTATAGCGAAACCTGAAGCATCTGTGCTTAAAATAAATTATTTACTAAAATCTGGGTAGCTTAGAATTGGTGCTTTTAATAAAGCTTCTCTCAA